AGCCACAGTAGCTGCCCAAGTGTTCCCACACCTCTCCCCGCTATTCCTGCCTACGGTCTTCATCCAACATCTCTGCTTTTTATCTTTGCTAGAGAAATACTTCATTCATATGCCTTTTAACATGTCCCTCGGAAGCAAATAATGTCGCAGGACTGTCCCACCACCACTGTCTTTACAGGTCTGATGAAATTCGTGACATCAGTTTAATTGACTCTGCACTGGGATTGCTCTTTCTTCTGCCCTCCCGGGTCCCATAGTAACTCTCACCATTTCCTCCTCCTTTGTGTTTCAAAGAAACCACCCGAGTGGAAGCATCCCTTTTCAGGCTTTACGTTTTTAAAAGCTGAGATGTTTCCATCTTTGAAGGTGAGTGAGAAACAGGGTTAAAATAAAGAAATGAAATCCTCGCACCTGGTGAAATGCCCACGGCTCCTGCTCAGCTGGTACCTCACAAACCCCAGAGGAGATGAAGAAAGAACTTTTGTCTGATGTCCTTTCTCTCATCAGAAACCCAAGCTCCACCTTCACTGAGGGTGGGCATGAAAAACACGACAAACAAATCCAGACCCAAGATGTTTACTGGGCTATGCACACATCCTCCTAGCCCAGTGGTTCTTAACCTGTGGACTGTGACCCCCTTGGGGTCCCACATCAGATATTTACATTACAATTAGTAACAGTAGCAAAACTACAGTTATGAAGTGCCAATGACATAATTTTATGCTTGGGGGTCACCACAGCATGAGGGACTGTATTAAAGGGTCGCAGCTGAGAACCACTGTTCTAGCCAGAGTCAACTAAACCTAGAAAATCCAATTTGATGGGGAATACTAGGGCTTGGAGGTGAAGCGTCCCCCTGAGAGACTCATGTGTTGAAGGCTTGGTCCCCAGTGTAGTGTTCCCAGGGGACACTTTGGGAAAGTGACTGCATCATGAGGACTCTGACCTCATGTGGCTGATTCAGTGTGGCAATGCCTTTGAAGAATATATCTTGTTACCCTCTGTCTCTCTGTCTCCCTCCCTCCCTCCCTCCTTCCCTCCCTCCCTCCCTCCCTCCCCACTGCAGTGAGGTAGTATCTTCCCCACCATGCCTTTCTGTCATGATGTTCTGCCTTAACACAAGTCCTCAACAATGCAGCTAGCTGACCATGGACTAAATTTCTGAAATTTAAATTTGAATTTCATGAACCAGAATAAATGTTTGCTCCTTTAAGATGTTTCCCTCAGCTCTTTTATCACAGCAATAAAAACTAACACGGGAAAAGACAACTTGCAGGGAATCTATGCCTTTTCAGCTGGCCCAGATGAGGCGGTGGGCATAGTTGCTGGACCTTCCGGCCAGAGTCATGCTGACGTGCTCTGCTATTCCAGGGGCAGCACTCACAGCCTGGGAACAGGGGTGCTGCCTATGTTCTCATGTCAACTCTGCTTCCCAGTAGTCTGTAACCTGGGCCATTCATTGTCCCTCAAAAGCTCTTGTTCCTCCTGCATGGCTCCTGACTTGGCGTCTTGTACTACTATTCTACCTGGCTAGCAAACCAGACACCCAGAGATATCTCTGACTCCCTCCAGGCTGCCACAGGCCATCACCCACTGATCCCCTATCCCATCTGCCCCGTGCACCCTTGTTGCTGCAATTCTGAGCCGAGTGAGCTCCTGCTGGACTAGGGCAAGCCCTCTGGTCTTGACTGAGATGCTGGGAAAACTGGACATCCACATGAAACAGAGTTCTAGGGGATCTGATGCCCTCTTCTGACCTCCAAGGGCACCTGCATGCACCTGGTACACATACATAAACTCAGAACCACACACATCTACATAAAACTAACAAGTAAAATAACCCTTTAAGAACAGCCAATGGGTACTTGAAGAGGCACTTAGCAGGGCTAATCAGCAGGAAAATGCAAATCAAAACCCCAGTGAAGTATCACCTCCCCCCTTACAATGGCCATTATCAAAATGACAAGAGACAGAAGGTGGCTAAAGCCTGAGCAAAGGGACCCCCACCTAGTGGAGGCTGGAACAAGATCCCTGGTCTTTCTGCCGCTAAACAAATGCTAGTATTTCCTAAACTGTTCTCTCTGCTTGACGGTATCCTCTCCACTCAGTCCCCTCCCCCACCTCCCCCAGCCCTGGCCAACACAAATCCTAATTTTCCATAAGGCATCATTTCACATCACTTCTGCAGGAAAACCATCCACCCCACACCAAGGTCAGCGTCCTACTTCTTCTATTATCTGCCGACCTCGGGCTAATTGCCTCCCTGTGGTTTCCTTGAGTGTGGCATCTAGCCTGGCTACCCTGTAGTTGCAGTAGCGGCAGCCAGCCCAACATTACAGCGGACGGGACTTCCTACAGACTTGCTGAGGGGGTGGATACCTTGCCCCCTCCGGACTGCAGTGCATAACCATCAGCAAGATGCACTCTGCAGTGGGGGAGGAAACATGGAAGCCAACAGAAACCCCAGAACAGGAGAGACCAGACTTGCCAGTGAGGAAACAGGGTTTAAGTGAGACATGGGGATGTGGGACTTTGAGCCATGCCTGCTACCAAGAAGGATGCTGGGAAAGGGTGACCTGCCAAAGGTCACACAGTTCTTGCAGTCTCTAAAGCCTTGTTAAGATGTGACTGTATTTGACACGCTCATTGCTGGACTCCAGCATCCGACTCCATATTTTAACCATTTGCTAACTGACTGAGTGAATGAACAAAGACAGAGGCTTAAGGAGGGCCTGGGATAACAGAAAGGCTTTAGGATCGCCATCCAAAAGGTTCGATGGGTGACAAGGAATTTAGAGTCCTGTAAAGCAGGCACTTACTTTTTCAATCCCTGGAGAACAAGTAAACTAATTGCTGGCTTTAGTACACACTTCCACGCTGTAAGGGCAGGCTACGGTTGTTACATTGTTTTTATTGTCACTGACAAATGTTCACTTTGGGAGCTTAAAAATATCTTTAAACAGAGAGCAAACGAATCTTGTGAGACCTCACCCCGGCAGACAGACTGTTTCCAGCACACTCACACTAATCATGGAAATTGTCCGTCAACAGACACCCGGAAGTAGAGAGCAGGTGTTGTTTCTGGTTTTGTAAAAAGAGGAAAACCAGAGTGTGCTGGAGCCACTCTGGTAGTCAACCCGGAGAGGTGAGAGGCAGGCAGCTCTGAGGCAGGCTGGACCAGCCGAGACGGAACAAGCCACACACGATGACACGCGGGCACATTTAAAGGCAGGCTGGATGGCTCACCCAGTGGAAGAGCTTGCTCTGCAAACCCGAGAGCCTAGTTCAACCCCTAGAGCCCCTGGTGGAAAGCTGTCCTTTGGCCTCCACATATTGGACCTGTGGACTCTCTACTGAGTAAGTAAGGTAGGAGCTGGATCCAGAGTGAGCGAGGTCAGGAAGCACCCAGAAGAAGCCCACGGCAGAATAACGGCTTCTTCCTAAGCTTGAGCATCCCAGAGAGGCCAGCACTGGGTGGGACATGCCCAGCAGGAAGATTTCAAAGCCCTGGAGCCCTGCATCCTCTAGCTTTTAGCTCCAGCTTCTAAGTTGTAGGCAGTACCTAGGCAGGAGGCAAGGGTAAGGCTTTGGGCTCACTAACTCATGCAGCCTTGCCCCGGAGCACTCTCCTGGTGCGCTTGCTCATTAAGCTGTCTCGTTGCAGGGCCCTGCTGCCAGAATCCGGGTGCTAAGAGCTGTTGACCTCAGGGACGGCTTAAGTACTCAGAACAGTCCTTGCCTTGTGTTGGCCATGAGTGAGTTGAGGCATCCTGTCCTCCTCCTTCCTGCACTCACCCCATAGGTGGCCAGGAGAGGCCTCTGTATCCCCAGGGAGCATCTGGGCCACCCTCCTATCATCCCCCTCACCCATCACAGGCTCACCCATCACAGGAAGTAGACACTGTGGACTCAGCTTCCTTCCAGGTCTTGGCCAATGCACTGCTCTCTACCCACAGCCACTGCTGGCTCTGGCCACATGGGTCAGCAGCCACGGCCTCCTACTGGGCCTCTGAGCCCGCCTCACCCTTCCCACTCCAGTTTGGTCCCTTTCCCTTACCTCCTCATGGCCCCTTCTGCCAGGGCTCTGGCCACACCACTGCCCTGCTGCAGTGGCCCTGGAGCATCCTGCTCTTTCTGGTTGAAGCCTGCTGGGCTCAGTGAGCAGCTCCTCGCCTTCCTCCTCACTCACCCTCCTCATGCGTCTTCCTCACCCATGTGGGTCATTCCTGCTCTCTTGGGACCCTCCCAGTTACTATCACAGACCCTGCCTCTCTATCTGGAGGCCTTTTCCATTGCCTCATCTGTCTCTAGGACACTTTCTCTCCCAGACCCCATCACCACTACCTAACCCTCACTCACCCTTGGGGATGCTCAGAGGCCTCACCTTCTGGGAAACCTTCCTCGGGCTCGCCTCACTCCTACACCAACCTGGATGAACACAATTCTTTGCCAAGCCCAAGCCCACCTAGCAAGTATGTGGTTGAGCTGGGATTCTAACACACTCCTTCCTGTTCCTCATACAGCAAGGCAAACGGGAAGACGGCGCAATCATTTAGGAGAAAAAAAATAAACTCACGATTGTGGTAGAGTTAGTGAATATCTCCGAAAGATACCGAAAAATGGGTAAAATGAGAGCAGCAAGCTGCAGAACCATATGTAAGGCATGATCCTATGAAAACAACACAAACACGGCTAACTGAATATTCAGGTAAGAGGCATACGTGGTTTTTAGAGCAGAGGGCAAAGCCTGTACAAATGCAAATTCAGCTGTCAACAATGGTTGGGGAGCAGTGGACTTGAACACTCTGTAAGGTTTGAGTTTTTAATATAGTATTTATAGTCTAAGAAAGTGAAAGGCATCTACAACTTTTCTCCGTGGATGTGTAAAACACTTGAGCCCTCAGGAATCGCCACCTTAGAGATGAGACTTCTAAGGGCTCCTTGTGACCCGGTAACAGAGAGACGAAAGCAGCCATGGCTGTCCGGGAAGCCACACTTACCTTTCCCAGGAGCTCAGGTAAGCCCAGCAGCTGCCCCACAAACACGCCAATGCAGATGAAGATGGCAGTCACCTGGCCCAGGGAGCCCCGGATCTGCTTGGGTGAGATCTCATTGAGGTACATGGGGAGCGCACTGAGTGCGATGCCTGAGGAATAGACACAGCAGCAGTTAGAGAGAGGCCCTGGCTCCCATGTGGTCACATGATGAGCACTTACAGATGCTGATGTGTCCCTGCCCATTACACCAAGACCATGGGATAGCACTTGTCAGCTCACAGTGATGCTAACTGCCATGGGGAAGAAGCAGCAGGGGTCACAACCCTGAGGGTGTGGTACTTTGAATGAGAAATGTCCTCCATAGGCTCCAGTATGTGCACATTTTTCCCCAGTAGGTGGTGCTCTTGTGGAAGGTTTAGGTGATGTAGCCGTGCTGGGGGAAGTACATCACTGGGAGTGGGCCCGGGGATTTCATAGCCTTGTCCTGCTTCCCATTTGTTCTCTGTTCTCTCTCAGCTTCCTGTCCCTGCCGCCATGCTTGCTGCCATGCCTCTCCACCATGATAGACTCTTTTCCCTCTGGAACCCTGAGCTGTAATAAACTCCTCTCATAGGTCACTTTGGGTCATGGTATTTTTGTCACAGCAGCAGAAAAGTAACTAATACAGTGTCGTGTTGACTTCTCTAGCTCACCAGAACAGTAGGGGTGAGAGCAGACAGGAGGGACATCTGTGCTCTGTATTAGGAAAAAGAACTGCATATGCTTGGCATGCACACACTGCTATTTGTTCTTAGTTGGCCTTTTACTTAGAGAACAGGACATGTAGTGAACATGCAACCTCCGTTAAAGAGAAGGCGATGATGAGAGGAAAGTCCAAGAGGCCATAGGAGGGCTGCTCGGACACTGAGAATCTCAGAGATGAGGCTGATCCCTACACAGTGGGGCAAGGCTGAACCGCGGATGACCAACTGCCTTCATTCTGATTCTTCATAAAAATATGATAGCTGGAGACAGCCCAGAGAAGGTAGATCGTGTGGGGTGATAGCCACCTGTGTCGCCAGACTGCCGTCTCTCTCAATAAAGTATAGCTTAACGATTCAATGCCTGAATCTGCTCACTGGTGTTTCCAGTTGAGGGCAGCTTGAACCATTCATTGTATTCTAGATATAAGGACAGTGGAGCCTTCACCATTATGGAGATGGGAACACAAACTGAATATATATATGGATTGGTAGAGTATCTGGCACAAATTCAGCTGTTAATTTATGGCAACTATGGCTAAGCCAGTGGTGAAGAAGGAGGTAAGCCATATAATAAGCCTATGTTTGGGTCTCTGATGCATCCTGGCTTGCCTGGTACCATCTATCCAGGATGGTTGGTCTTCAATAAGCATCCCCATTCCGAAGCAGCCTTGTTCAACTTCTGACCCTATCCCCTGCCATCCATCCTCCCTTGACATGTGAAGCTCAGGGCACAGGGAGCACTCTAGGCCCATTGTGCCCTCAAAGACTGACCGTGGTTCTTCTCTTTGTTTCAAACCCTCTGTCCTCAGAGATCTGAGGATGATTCCCACCTATGCTTCCTGTTTCAGTTCAATGTCACTTCCTACAGTAGGAGGTGGATTTGTGTCTTCCAAAACATGTTCAGTCTCTATCCTCAATTACCCATGGGTCTGACATTACCTGGCGATAGGGTCTTTACCAATATCATTATGCCCAGATGGATGATATGTTGTTAAAAATATTACTTTAAACTCATAAATTATTTCTGGAACTTTCCATATTTTTAACAACAGAAACCATGGAGCTTCTGCTTGTAGCTGGCATGGCTTGTGTCCTGGGGAACCCCTACTGTGGCTGATGGGGAACTGTACCACAGAGGATGTGGGCAGCTCTGGGAAGGTCATGCTTGGGCCATGTCCAGTTCAATCTCCCACCAACACAAAATTCCTATTTTAAATTCTTTGATCTATGTGAATTTGTCTCTAACGCCATATTGAGTCATGTTTATTTCTATATAAAAAGTAGTATGCTGATGTTTCTCCAAATCCCCTAGGGGAAAAAAAAATTAAAAATGTCCTACATTTCTAATCTAATTCCAATGCTCTGTGAGAAGCTGAGCGAACAGCGTCTTATTAATAGATCATATTACTTCTAGGATGTTCAGGATTATCACGTGGCTTTTAATTCTTTGTTTTGTTTTGAAGCACAGTCTCAGATAGTCCAGGCTGGCCTTGAACTCAGTATGCAGTGGAGCATGTCAAGGATGACCTTGAACTTCTGCCCTTCCTGCTTCCATCTCCCATGTGGCCTGTGCCACCCTGCCTGGTTTTGTATGGTGCTGTGCTGGGCTTCATGAATGCTGGACAAGCACTCCACGCCTTGAGCCCTGGATTTAAAGTCTTTATTACGAGCACACAGCCGACCTAGCCCATGCCTGGTAGTTTTCCTGTCTTCCCATACAACTCCCTTACCTTAAATGCCCTCACTCTGCTCTCTCTGCTCTGAGGGTTTGGTGAGAATAAATGGCATGAAGTCTCCGGGGCTTGGCACAGCTTCAGGAGGCTGTGTTCCAGAAGTCAGGGTGTTTTTTAAAAGTTCCCTTATTTTTCCTTGTCTTTTGCTTCTTTCTGAATAGCTCACAGAAAAGAGGCCTAGAAGGCATTTATTTCGAGTCTGTGGCTGTGAAAGAGTCGCATTCATCTGCGAACTCGGAAATCCACAAAGCAACAAGTACAGCATGAGTCTGTGAGGCAGGCGAAGAGAGCCAGGGGGAAAGCGGCTGACTAAATATAAAAACCTCCACAGAGAGCCTGGTAGAGGCCTCATCGGGGAGGCTGTCAAGCAGCCTTCTTCTGTCTTGGTTCCAATCCTGGATCTGCCCCTTACAAGGTTAGAATTAAACACACAGCAGCAGCACTCAGGACGAGAATACCCCCCACCATGCCTGGGGTGGATGCAGGCAGACTTGGATCCTGCTAATGGAGTACTTTACACAAAGGATAATTCTGGCATCATCCAACCAGGGCAGCCTTGCTATCTGGTCCCTCTATGTGACAGCAGAAGACTCAAACAGTGAGGAAGGCTGCAGTACTCGTCCCCATGGCAGACACATCCCCAGCTGGATATCTGTCTGCTCCTACCATGGGCCTTCCCTTGGCCAAAGTGACTGTGGCTAATGTACGGTACAGTATTTGCATGTTAAGGCTTCTTCCTCCTGCTGGACTCTGGGGCCCGTGGAATTACATGAGAAGAAACCTCAGATACTCTGTTGGGTGAGACCCCTCTATTCATGGATTCTATCTCAAACTGAGCAAGAGAACCCAAAATGAGTTGACAGCCTTAAGAGTACACAACACAGGCAGGTGGGATGGCTCATCAGGTAGAGGTGATTGCCACCAAGCCTGATGACCTGAGTTCGACTCCCGGAAGCTACATAGTGGAGCATGAGAATCTAATCTTGCAAGCCATCCTCTGGCTTCAACATACACACAGTGGCAAAATTGGTAAAAGTAATTTTAAAACATTAAGAGTGTAAAACACTTCAAGCTGACTGGTAACACTGAGGCTTAGAACTTACAGATCTACAAGTTTAGGGCAAAAGCAGTTTGTTATGACAATTTGAATCTGTAAATCTCACTCTCTTGGCAGAATCTGACCATTCTTCCCTTCCTGCCCCGCCACACAGTCTTGCTCAAGTCACACAGGCTGTCCCTGGTTCTCTTGACCCTACTCCTGGACCCACCTTCAGACCCAAGCGCCCAAGGGGTAGCATTGAGCCATACAACAATTCATGCCCCTCCTCTCTCAGCCCTTTCTGGCTTCTGCTCATACTCAGCACAATCACTTAGTCCTAACTGTGGGCTGCACCATCTGGTCCTGGTTCCATCCTCAGCTCCCGCACTCCCCTCCTCACAGAGCTCCAGCCTCCCTGGCCCCTTACTCATCCTCAGAAATGCCCATCACCTTCTACCTCAGGATCACAGCACTATCCTTTCTACTGAAATTCTGATTCCTCAGATTTTTACTCGGTTCTCAATCTCGGTTCATTCTGGTCAAAAAAACAACAACAACAACAACAAAAACCAACTCCTTGCTAGCCTTCCGCCCTGCCCTGTTTGCTTCCTTCCAAGGACTTGTGCATCATTAGATGCCTTCTGCCCCCAATGGCAGCATTCTCCCCAGCACATAGAACATGGGGCATAGTCAGTATTCTAATGCTTGGTGAATGAACAGAGGAATGAGCAGCCAGAAGCTCAGGATCCTTGGACAAGCTCACAGCTTACCACCCAGAGTGTGGATTTTATAAAGTAGGCAGCAGACACAAAGTAAACCACCCGGGGCTTTGGAAGTGACTCAGCTCTGCCTTGCCTGGTTTTCCCAGGTTGAGTGCTACGACACTGTATAGAGAGGCATTTAGCACACCCCCTCTCCGACTGCCCCACTTTCTGTGGGGTTCTAGTATCTCAGTCTCTTCCAAGTCTATCTCAGCTCCAAGCACCTCTCTCCACTCCAGACAAGCCCTGGGAGTGTTACAGCTCTCCTCCCCGGTTGGGGTCAAGTCTCACCTCCATCCACACCCATGATGAACCGTCCCACGATGAGCAGTTCAAAGGTTCCTGCCCGCAGTGAGCAGGCCATCAGCAACGCTGCAGAAACTGCAAATCCATTATTGACCAGCAACGTGTACTTCCTGGAAGGAAAAATGGCTTGATGAGGACAAGGCACTATGAGGCATATCAGTGTCTTGTCCATCCCCCAAAACAGAGAGGCCAGTTCCTTCAGAAGGTCAGTAGAATGAGATTCAGACAGTGGAACAAGCATGGGCTTAGGAATTAGAGTCATGGGTCACCCCCACTCTGCTGTGTGACGTTGAGTGACCTTGAGCCTGCCATCCACTCCCTGTCTCCCGGTTCACAATGGGGTAGACAGAGGGCACTGCCAACTTAAAAGCTATGGATTCCTTGCGGAAGGGTTTTATTTCTTCACTTCTGAGTTTTATTTAGCATTTATCAAGATAAGGTGTAAGTCACAAAGCAGGAGCCGGGCTAAGCAGTAAAACAGAAACTACTCAGTATTCGAGTGGAAAGATGTTAGCATGGGGGTTGGATAACCATGTTAGAAGAGTGATTTATGTAAAGACTCTCTGAAAAGGGGCGCTAGTGTCTTAGAGGCTCAGGAGGGGATCCCTGAAGAGCTGGCTCAGAGTGGTACTGCTCACTGGTACCACATCTCTGATGGGCACTTAGTCTGCTTCTCGGGATTGGACAAAGGCCGGAAACTAGAATCAGTAGCCAAGGGAAGTCAGGCAAACAAAAACAGGCCTGGAGTGTGTTGTCCAGAACAGCTGGACAGCCAGTGTGGCATCCTACTGTTCTAGCTGGCAGACTTGACCCTCTGTTTCCCTTCCTTCCCTCCTTCCCTCACTTTCTCCCTCTCCCTCAATAAAAGCAATCATATTTCTTAATACTCTATAGGCACCTTAGATCTAATGAACTACAGTTTGAGATGTAAAGCTGGGTTGGAACCATCAACCAGAGCCAGACAGATTCCCCTGGCAGTAATTACTTTTACTGCTGTGTGTCAGGATGACTGTCTGTTTCAGGAATGGGTCCCTAAGCTCTCACAGTTGAGATTCATGCCTCACTTGGGGGGCTGGATTCTGCAGTGGCTCTGTCTTTGAGGAGTGAGGAGGCTGTGTTTTCTTTTCCTCGCCTACAGAACCAACCCAGCAGCTCCCATGGATTCAAGCCTTGCTGTGTGACAGGCTCTGATCTAAGCCCTGGCGTGACTGGTCACATGCTTAGGTCATACAAAGTTAACCAGGACCCTGATGAGTTAGAGACTTGCTGTAAGTCAGGAGGCTAGGAAATTAAAGAAAAAATAAAGAAAAAAAAAATCAAAGTTTAGGAAGCAGCCTCCCCTCGCCCCTCCCCAACAGCAAAAACAGCAAACCACTAAGTCAATTAAGAAGCATTGCAATGTTTTGTAAATAATGAGACACCAAGGGTTTTCAAAGGAGATTTAGCATTCCCTTTAGCAGTAAGTTTTCTTGAGCTCTGGGACAACCATCTCTGTGACTTCTGCCTCATCCCAGCATTTGAGCAAAGTTCCTCCCTTTCTGCATCCTTCCTGGACGGTCTCACAGTTGCTGGCTTCTGCATCTGTGGCAATGGTACCAGGATACTCACACCAGCATCCCACAGCAGCAGATGGTTGGAACGGCCCAAGCGTTCACTAACAGCAAACTAAGCTGTAGTCCGCTCATGCAGGCGCCGTGCCAACATTAAATCAGAAGTAGCTGTCTATGCTCTGAGGTGGGAAGAGGTTTAAGAGAGAAATAAACAGGCCGAAGTGCAGAATTTGCTGTAAACCATGTAGTGATCCGTGTGGAAAAAGAAGTGTGACTGTGTATGTGTATGAGTGTGAGCATGTGTGTATTCTGTGCGTGTGTGTGTGTGTGTGTGTGTGTGTGTGTGTGTGTGTGTGTGTGTGTGTTAAGCAGGACACCAACCATGTAGCATCGGGTGTCTCCAGAAAGGACTGAGGGACTGGAGGTCACAAGTGGAAAGGGAACCCTGAACTTGGTGTCCCTTCGGTCCTTTAGAAATCAAAGCCACACGGATGTGTTCATTAGCCAGAAATGATGTGACTTTATTTTTTAAGTCTAATTTAAAGGGACCTTATTATAGAAAACCAGTTATGTCAGTGATATATCAAGATGGCTAAATAGGATTAGCGGGCGCGTAGTGTATATTGGGTGGATACGCTAGATGAAGGGACAGTCCGTGAAGGTCAGAGTAGGAAAGCGTGAGATTCATTTCTCTATTCAGAACAGCAATCAATCTAAAACTGATCAACTCTTTGCTTCTGGAATTTTCCACTTACTGTTTCCCAATACAGCCGACTTCAAGTAACTGTAATGTAGGAAAGTGAAATCCCAGATAACAGAGGCTAGTGTGTGTGATCAGGACAGTGCCTGCCATTTGCCTGCTTCTTCTCCACCCTCCTCCTTTCTCTGCCTTGCTGGAGGATCGGTACGAGAGGCCTCCCAAGGGAGGGTGGAGAAGGACAGTGACCAGGTCCCCCATCACACTCTCTCTGCTCGAATTACTGAGTGTGCATCTTCCCTAGGGACCCAGCTGCGGTCCCAGCAACTGTGCCCTGCAGTATGTGGCCCTGGCCTTTGGACTCCAGTAAGACTGCCCCTCCATTTCGACTTTCCATCCCAGAGATGGGAGATGCTTGACTGTAAAAGGGGAAAAGAAATATTTCTTGCGAGCACATTTCTCTCCTTGTAACTTCCACGTATGGTCCCTGTCTTAACCCTGAAGGCCTCACAGGTCCAACCCTATTGGTGGAGTCTTATGAGAAAGGCTTGTCAAAGACGATAAAAGGGAGGAAAGCTGAGGCCAGCCACAGTGTTCTCAGATCTGTCATTCCGTGGACAGAGAAATAAAAAGCCTGATTAGAAGTTAAACTTCAGCTCACTCACAGACACCCCTCCATGACATCACTATCATTAAGGTGGATGTTTAAGTTAGAGGATGTGAGAGAGAAAGCTGTAGAGTAGCTCTTCTGTGAGTGGCCCTCAAGCCTGCAGCTCCTCAGGTTCACCAATAGCGCTTACACATAGTCACTCGACCTGTGATGACAGTGGTATGTGCTCAGGAATGTGCAGTTAGCCAATGGCATCGTAGGTGACATGTAGAGTGCTGAGTGTGAGCTAAGTGTCTCTGGTACCCCCTGCTGATTACCCTTTTAGCCACAGTGGCTCATACAGAGATGCTGCCAAGCCACCCTTTCAAAGCCTGCGTGATGTGTGGCTATCAAAATGGTGCTACCTAACAAACCCGAGATTCACTATGCAACAGGAACTCTCCTAAACACTGCATATTCACTTGTGTAAGTTGTCTTACGAGTTAGATCATTGTTTTAAGTGTGTGGTCTTTTATTTGTGTTTATGCCTGTTCACCACATGACCAGAAGAGGGCACCAGATCCTCTGGAACTGGAGTTATATACAGTTGTGAGACACCATGTGGATGCTGGGACTTGGTCTCAGGTTCTCTGGAAGAGCAGGGAATGATCTTAACCACTGAGCCCTCTGTCCAGATTCCAGTTAGATAATCTTGAGGAAAAACACCTGCAAGTACCTTAGTCAAGGCCACACTACTGAATGAAGATCTAGCACTTCAGGGACCATGACCCAATATGCCTGCAAGGGTAGCTGCCATAGTCACTCATAGACATCTATTCTTTCAACAAACATCCATTCACAGAACTGAGTGTTGAGCACCAGTCTAGATTATGGCTTATGGGACAAACACAGTGACATCTTTATTCTTACATCTTCCCAATAAGCAATATAAAACGTGGAATGCTGGTGTTGACCGATGCTGTCAAGACAGCTGAAGCAGAGAAGGGAATGTAATTTTGCACAGAGAGGACCAGGAGCGTGTGCCCGGGAAGATGACGTGAGCAAAGATGTGAAGGAGGGATGGATGGCTAGACAGGAACAGCCAGACATCACTGAGGTCAGTATGGCTGGAGACAGTGGAGGACCAGGAGGCAGCAGCAGAAAGTGGGCAGGTAGAGAGGAGTGACAGCGGTGTCCCTGAGGAGTGTGCTGGGACCAGGAGGTGTGAGTTTCTACCCCTGGGGAGGGAGGTAGCCACAGATGACAAAGAAAGGATCCACTAGGCCTGACATCTAACAAGATTGCTCTGTCTTCTGAGCTGTTCACTGCCAGGAGGGGGCAGAGTGAAGCCAGGAGGTCCCTGGGAGAGCTATCACAGGAGTGTGAGCCAGTGCTGCTGGTACTGTTGACCAGGCTAACAGCAAGGCAGGCTGTGGGAAGCATCGAGATCCCGGCATGTTTTCAGGACAGACCTGCTGGGATCAGCTGTCAGGCAGACAGAGGTGAAGAGCTAGGGAGAGGCCGAGATGTCTTCTGAGGTTCTAGCCTGAACCTTCACACCATCCCCTGTGGTGTCTTCGGTGCCTTGCAGGAAATGTTAGTCACATCTGAGTCAGACAGGAAGCATTTGCAAACAGGGATGCACCCCCTTTAGCAACTTCATCATATTAAATCTTCCTTCCCAAAATAACCCCAGCCTGACAGCCTCCCAGAGAGGATGGAAACCTTATTCGCAAATAATTCTCAAAGCGAACTCCCTGGGGCTCAGAGACAGACTTTAATCATCGCGTTTCCATTTTCTGCCAAGGATGAACATGGCAACACAAACAAGGGGCATCAGCTTTGAGAGCAGAATCCAAGGTCCCCAGGACTCCACCCACGGTGCCTGATTCACTGCTGGAAGCTTCTTCAATAGTGTCCGGTCTTCCCTGGGTAACCCAGAAGGTCACTAGCTCTCTGGCAGAGAGGAAAAGTGATGGGGCGGTGGGGAGGCGGGGCAGCAGGTCCTTGAGAAAGTTTCAGTGGGAGGAGACTTGATCTGGATAAAGGAAGGCTGGGGGAAGCCTGAGAGCTGCCTTCTACAGGTTCAGCCTTTACAGGATCAGGATTTGAGGGTGGAAGACACAGGGCTTACTATTTTGGTTTGCCTTTTTAAACACTTGTCAGTGCGCCCTAGTGAATGGAGAAGTTGTGTGTGTGTGTGCTGGTTGCCTCCCCATGTCTTCTAGCAACTTTTAAGCCACATTAGGCCTGAATGCCAAGATGGTACCTTGTTCCACATCAGTCATGTTCTCCATCCTTTCCTGCTTCCCTGGCTTGAATTCTTCTGTTCTTCATTTCTATTCATGTGTTTGAGAGAGCTCAGTGGTTAAAGGTTACCCTAGCAAACGTGCTTCTGCTGCGCTCAGCATGGCTGAGCATGTTGAAGAGCTCATCTGAACGCAATAGTACCAACCTCCATCACTTCCCACTGTCCATCCCTCCCCAGTGCCCTAGGCTGGGGTTACAGGAGGCAGCCACCACTCCAAGCCTTATATGTGGGTTCCAGGGAATCTGAACTCAGGTTCTTGTGCCAGCATGGCAGGTGCTTTACCAACTAAGCCTTCTCCCCAGCCCAGCACCTGGCACTTTTAAGGTCATTATTAAGAAAGGGATCATAATGCTGGTCTATGCTGACCCTCCATGGAGAGATTGACAGGAGGAAGGTAGGGCTGAGGGGTGAAGGAAAGAGACAGATCAATTGGGTTTCCTTACGATATTCTATGAGATGGCTGGTTCAACATTAGTTATGTGTGCCAACAAATTCCCTTTGGGGTTTAGGACAACTTGATTTGTGCTCCGTGACAGGCATTCAAAGACTTTCCTGAGTGACATGAGACCCCATGTAAATTTCTGTAAATTGCATCACATCCAGCCCTCATAGCTGCTCTCTGGGGCAGGTCTGCTTATTCACACTTCACAGAATTTCACCTTGGGAGGCCAGCTGCCTCTTCCTGAACCTGTCACTCATCCTCAGCACTTACAGGGACCATGAGGGCTTGCAGATGAAATTTCAGTGGACCTCTCTATCCTGGTGGCAGCCGTGGACCTCAGGAGTTGTGCTTTTCTTGTCCACAGGCCCACGTGTGTCCATATAGTGCCCCACCCATCCCAACAGTGCCCAGACATGTGGGCTGCATAGATAGAGGTTTTTATGTTTTTTTAAAGATTTATTTATTTTATGTATATGAGTGCTCTATCTGCATGTACATCTTTATGCCAGAAGAGGGCATCAGATCCCACTAGAGATGGTTGTAAGCCACCACCTGGTTGCTGGGATGAACTCAGGACCTCTGGAAGAGCAGCCAATGCTCTTAACCGCTGAGCCATCTCTCCAGTCCCTAGCTAGATGTTCATGCACAGACTGTCTGAGACCTGATCCAGGATTTCAAAGCCGCTGTGGGTTTTCTCGATTTGTTTCTTGTTTGTAAAAACAAGGTAAACTATTTCCAGAGGTAAGAATCAGATTCAATGACATGATCCATGAGGACACTTCTTAGCATAGTTTGAAACACACACACATGCACACGAGAGCACACACACACACACAAAACGCTGGTCATCGAGCACTTATGATCCGACAGTGGTGCTCACAGCTCATGTGCTTATGGGACCATGACAGCTGACTCTAGCTGATTGCATCTACTTGAATCTCTGTGGTAGCTCTCACACCTGCCATTACTTTCTTTTTCATGCTGCCGTGAACCAGGTTAGGTTAGAGAGTTCACGTAATTCACAGACACCTTGTGAGTCACCAGCATCAAAGAGCCCAGAGCTGAAGCTGAGGCTGTGGCCATGTCTGTGAACACATGCTGACCTGTGTGGTGAGGGAAAGAGGGGTCTGTGGCTGCTGCAGAGGACAGCAATGACTCCAAACAAAGGGCTGTGGTTCCACCAGAATTCTCTATGGTCTGAATTCTCTCAGCTGGAGGCTCCTGAGGAGGAGGAAACCCTATCCCTGGGGCCTGCCTAAGCTGATGTGGCCCATCTCCAGAGACTGTTCCTGGCTGTTCAAACTTTCCTATCTCCACTGTTCTCTGAACATACGAGATTTCTGTGGCCCAGCCACAGCTCCCACCGACTCCCTACGACTGTCTGGTTTACCAGTAGCCAGTTCCCACCACCACTGATGGAATTACCAGGATCCAGTCCCAACTTGAGCAGAGACCCAAGTCTACTGAACTTCTCTCCTAATCACACACTGGGACACCCTTGAAGGCCCACCAGACTGTTGCTGCTGTCCCTCAACCCCTCACCACGATCTGGGCTTCTTCTTCCTCCCTCACAACCCCAGGAGCAATTCCACATAACTCAAGGTTTGGTCAATTTGACCTGGATCTGCATTTCAGACCAGCCCCACTCTTTGCAGTGTAAATGAGCCATTGAGCCTCACAGGGCATCAGATTCACTACTTGTGAAGTAGGGAAAATCGGGGCGGATTTCTAAGCAGCCCACCTGTGGTACATGGAGCACCAATCTCTAGAAGAAAGTTAAGAAGTGGTAGCCTTCTCTTCGACTTTGCTCCTTCTCCTCCCAACAGCTATTGGAGCTGAACTTCAATTTAGCCTTGATTGCCAGAATGAGGAGAAGGAGCTGGCAGTGGCTGGAGGCTTAGTGAGCAGCATCCTTTCATCTGGTCTCAGCAGCAGCACTCCCATGGCCCCGCTGGGCTAAGATGAGGATTACTCAATTGCTTAGAAGTTCAAGGTGTTTAAGATGTTTACAAACACATTTTACCTCTTGCTTGCTTTCTGCTTCACAGCTGCCAGGCTGTTGAAGGTCATAAAGCTAACTGTCAATCATTTCACTCTCTGTGTGAGAAAAGCACGGGCTAGAAGGTGAGGTGACAGAATCTTGAGTTCCATAGTTGGTGACTGAGGGCCCCGGCTGGCTGAGCCTTGAAATTTGGCCCCCAATCCCAGAGCACCTTCCTCTATTCCACTGCTTGGGTGCAGAGCCTCCTTAAGGGACAGCCTTGAGGCAGGAGAGCCCAGCAAGGTGGGTAGACATCACAGTCCACAGAGCCTGGGTGACTGTGACAATCTGGAATAAGACAGGAGGGCTGTGGACAGGTCTGGCATGCAACAGCACCTCGGGGTCCCTGGCCAGTGGTGCCATCTGGGCACGACTTCACTGTGTGCCTATGGCTCAGCAGTCACAGACTTCACAGTACTGTTGCCAGCGGAGCCCCTACCCAAGATAAACTTGAACTGGGAAAAGATGGTGGGGTCGGGCCATTGCGGGCTGCTCTCAGCGTTAGCTCAGCCACATGTGAGCTGGCTGAGTCTACACAGCACCCTGACCTCTCTGATCTCCCATTCCCCATCCATAGACCCACCAAAACAGAGCAGATGAAACAAGAGAGTATGTGAGGATGCCTGGAACATTGGAGGACCCCAAAGGACATCCTTCACTGCCTTAGGCAATGGCTACGCTTTCCTAGTCCTGAGACCCCAGTAGTTAAACTGCTCTGGCTCTGGTGTTTTCCTTGGGACAACACCAGAACTTCCCCTAGCTCACTGGGCAGCATATACCTTCAGAGGCACCGCATGGATGTCTCCAACAAGGTCTTCAGGGATTCTTGCTGCAACATCAGTATTCTAATGAGTTCTTTGTTGGGGACATCAGGCAGGGTGAGAAGAATGGGTGGGACCTTTCTTAGTGGTGTTTCTGTAACCCCAGAGTCTGAGAGATTTTCTAGGGCTTGATGAATCCTCTCTCTAGTATGTGTGAATTCAAAATAGAGCAGTCATTCTGTGTGTATTGAAGGTAATCATAGACACATGGTGTCTGGTCACTAGGATCCTTTCCACAGCGTTCTCCCTCCATGCCTTTTCCCTAGCACTTGTAACATTGCCTCAGTGGGGGCCATCAGCCTGCACTTTGACTCAATTAGATGACTTGGCCAAGGTCATCCAGCTAGTAGTGGGAGACTCATGATTCAAGTTCAGACATGAAACTTGCAGAAACTGTCTTGCCCACACATAACCAAGAGGCTGTTGTTAGCAGAAAGGAGACAGAGAAACAGAGAAGACACTGGGCTATGTATGGGTGGAGTCTGATAAACCACACTGCCCTAAGAAGGATTCATGCCATAAATAGAGATGAGGCAAACAAAGCAAAGTGGGTCTGAGTGGTGAGGGCCTGGGTGGGAACCTAAACTGGTGTGTGTGTGTGTGTGTGTGTGTGTGTGTGTGTGTGTGTGTGTGTGTGTTGTACATGGGTACACTGTTGTGTGATTGCATGTGGAAGTTAGAGTTATTGTTCAGGCACCTTCCATCATATTTGAAACAGGGTCTCTCTTTGGCCTGGAGCTTCACCAAGTCAACTAGACTAGCTGGCTTGCAAGCTTCCAGGAGCCCTCCCATCTCAGCCTCAGAATCTTGCCGTCCCTGGGATTATAAGGATGTGCCACTGTGCCTGACTTTTTATGTGGATTTGCAGGATCTGAACTCAGGTGATAATACTTATAAGGTAAGTGCTATCTGACTGGGCCATCTCCTCAGCTCTAAACTTGGAGTTTTTGATACTTAATTTACTGCAGCCTTTTTGTTGATGGGAACAACCTGAAATTCCCCAAGTGTGCATCCATCATACAGTGGAAGACATACTGAATAGCTGGTCATCTTACAAGGATGATCACCCTGTGCTTCTGTGGAACAATCTCTAAGGCTCTGTGCTGGGTGTTCTCCAGTTTTCCAGAGACCATTCCCCTTCCTGCTCTATTCGGCTTCTTGGACGACATCAACCAGGCACCTTGGTTTCCCGCAGCAGATTGGAGGGTGGGAGAATAGAGGCATAGGGCATTTCTTCCCTGCTCCCCTCACTTGGGTTCTACACAGCCCAGGCACTCCACAGTTTCAGCCTCGTTTGTCACTGTATCACCCAATCTTCCTGGACACTGACACTTTCTGTCTTCCCTCTGCCCTTTAGGCAGTAAAGCCTCTACAGTTAAACTGTGTGGAACCCTGTTGCCTGCCGGGGCACTGACAATGATGCAGACACCTTATAATTGTTATAGACGGGACCCCCCAAACAGAAACAATGCCCGTACTGACCTCCCAAGAAACTTTCCGATGATCTTCACCATCAGCGTCCCCACCAGGCCACCAATTGCGAATATGGACACAGTCACAGACCAGAGCAGGGTCAAGGTATCCGGGTCTATGGGATGTCCATGTCTTCTGTACCAGGTTTCATTGTAAAAGGCCTTGATATACTGGAAATAAACAAGAGGAATTATTTCCTTCTGCTCTGCCTCCACTGGAAGCAAACAAAAGAGGGTCATTACAGGGTACTTTCATCATGCTTGACACCTTGCGGAACTCCACACTTGAGCTTGCCGGGTTCTTCTAACAAATATGAGGAATGGTCCTTACTTTTATCTCCCTTTGCAGGAAGGGAAACTGAGGCTCAGAGAGACAGCATGACTTGTTTGGTGAGTGTGAAGCCCAGGAGTCAAACAGATCTGGACAGAAGCTCTGGCTTTACTACATGGTGGCATCAACTTTGAAGTGTGCTAAACGTGCACACTTCTAACAGAAGCACCACCTTTCGATAGTGCAGCTACATTTCAGAAAAGACAGCAAGCATGAAAGAAAAATGTTCACTTGAATTGAATCAAAAGTCAAGTCTCTTGTTCTTCAAAAGACACCATGAGAAAATGAAGAAAAGGGCCCAGTAGGGTGACTTAGTGGATAAAGGTGCTTGCCACCAAGTCTGATGACTTGAGTTTGGTCCCTGAGATCTACACAGTAAAAAGGGAGAACTGGGTCCCTCGAATTGTCCCTGACCTCCACACATGTACCATAGTATATACCCACATACAAATAAATAAATAATGCAATTAAAACTATTTTTAAATGAAGACACGCCATAGACTGAGTGAACATATTTGTAATGCATACGGCTACAAAGGAAAAGTACCCACAATACATAAAGAACTCTAAAATGTCCTTTAGAAGACAAGAGAGATGGCTCAGCAGCTAAGAACACTTGTTACTCTTCCAGTGGACCCAAGTTCAATACCCAGCATCCACATGGCAGCTCACAACCATCTCTAACTCCAATTCCAAGGAATCTGACGCCTTCTTCTGGCCTCAGCAGGTACTGCATGCTGTGGCTCACAGATATATATGTAGACAAAACACCCATACACATAAACATATTTAAAAAAATTTTTAAAAAGTGTAAGAGCCATCCTTGCCCACCACCAGCTGCAACACTCAGGAGAGCAGGCCCTGCAGCCCGCCAGGGCAGCACAACAGATCCAACCCTGTCAGTGAAGGTATGGGTGAGTTGTGCCCCATAATTGTGAGCATGGGACAGCTTGTCCCCATTACCCATCTGGCAGACCAACCCTACAGCTGCCCAGGCCCAGACCCAGGGTTATGATTTGGCCTGCCCCAACATCCACCCCACTTATGATCTGCTGGGCACATGAAGGGACCTGACTCACAGACCCAAAGCTGCAGGATCTCTATAACACAGGGTGCCAGTAGGATATCCAGCAAGCGTTCTAGTGGGGGCCCAGCATCGAACATGTAGTGGAGACCAGGGACCTTGCACCAGACCAATGACTCTTTGCAATGAACACTTGCAAGAGGTATATGACATGACTTGTTGGGTGGCAGTGCAGCTTCCATGATGAGATTTTTAATTCCTTCCCTTTAAAAAATTTTTCTCATTTTATTTTCTTCCTTTATTTCTCTTTAATTTTGCTTTATTGGGGGGGTTCAGGGGCAGAGGGAGGGTGTGAAGGGATGGGGAATGAGTGGAATCAAGATACATGATGTGAAAAACACATACAATAAATTTTTAAGAACCAAAAAAGAAGACAAATATAATTAAAAATGATCAAGAGACCTGAACAGACACTAAATGATATGCACATGTCCAATTAGACAGCCACAGACTCAATATCATTAGTCAAAGAGACATGCAAATAAACCCACAATGAGATCTATCTAGACACCCACTCCATCATCATCATCACTGCTGCTGCATTTGGGACACAGACTGGGTGGGTCTAATGTGCAACAGACTGGGGTCATGGCGCTCTGCTATCCAAGGAAGTTCATCTCCCCAGCACATTCATAGTCATACATTGCAGCTAATATGGACCCACAAAACCTCAGCATGGCTAACGTATGTCATTACAGGAAAAGCTAGGGTTTGACTCCCACAGACTGAGCACCATGCTTGTGATTTAAGCAGCTTATTTACCTGCAGGATGGAAAGAATGACATTGACCTCCAGGGGCTGATGTGAGGGACAAATAAGAACACAAAGCCATGTCCAGTACTGGAATGGAGCTCATGCAATCCCCACTTAGATAAAGATGCTTTAAAGACCAGCTCAGCAGATCTACTTCTAGAAAATTCCATTGCACAACTTTCCCACCGGCCCTAGGATACATGTACTCAAATGTCCATGGTGACATTGTTCGTAATAGCCCCAAACAAGAAACAACCCAGATGCACACGGCAGAACAGATAAACAAATTACAGAACAATCATAACAGGAAACACTACAGCTACAAACTCGAATGAACTATAGCTCCTTGCAGAGAGGGACTCTGACACCATAACATCCATCCAAGGAAGTGACGGAAATCACGCAATGACTCTGTGTCCAACAGTCAGAGAAGCATAACTGAGTGTCTGCTGGTGGAATTCCACACAGGCGACAAACTCTGAAGAAGAGCTTTCAATGCCAGGCCAAGTGGCTGTCACAGGAGATGCTGTGAGAAATGACTGCTCCATCAGGACCTTTGATTCATCACCATGCAGTTGGTGGCAACATATATTCTAGACTTACAAGCAACCTTTATCCTGTGGGTGAACACATGCATGAGAAACATACTTGTGTTTTATATATTCTTTTGTGAGTATATATATATGTAGTCCTTTTAAAACTTAAAAAAGAAAATGGAGAAATGTTCCAGGAGGGGGGTATAGACTGAGGGGCTGGAGTAAGGTACTTGACACACAGCATGCAGACCTGCGTCCTGTCCCCGAAATCCATATTTAAGAAAGAAATCTAGCACAGTGGCACATGTTTGTGATACCAGCACTGGGGGACAAAGACAAGTGGATCTAGCCTAACCAGCCAATCTACTGAGTTGGCATGCCCTAAGCCAAAGAGAGACCTTGTCTCAAAACAAACAAGACCAAATGGATAGCTCCTGAGAAACACCTGACAAAACTGTTGACCTCTGTCTTCGACACCCATCTATACGCACGTTTGTGCATGCTCACATAGATGTGCACCCATGCATACATGCATGTGCACACACACATATCCACCCACGAAATCGAGACTGCAAGGTGGGAAAAGGCTTGGGTGTTCAAAGAAGGAGAGAATCAGTGGTGGCGGGATGAGACAAGAGACAGGCAGGCGGAGGTGGAAGGGTCCTGATCATGAGTGTGGCTTCCTTGCAGTTTACTCTGGGCAGAATGGATTTCGGAGCAAGGGGTAGGCATGGTGTGTTTGCATTTTTGCAGGATCTCTCGGGCTACAAGGTGGAAATGGGGTAGAAGGGAGGTAGAAAGGAAACTGGGAGCCTCGTTGAGAGAGGTACTGGGACCTGGGCAGCCTTCCAAACACCATGGAGGCCTGGGCAGACGTGGGTGAATTTGAGGCAGACCGGGGAGTAGAGTGGACAGGACTTGCTGGCTGACAGCCTGTAGGTTTGGAGAGGGAGGATATTGAAGAATGTGAAAGAGAAACAGAAGACCCCCAGGTTTCATGTATAAAGGTTCTGAAGGCTAGGGAAGAAGCATGGAGGGGAGGCATCCTTTCTGTGGGAGGTATTAATCTTCTTTTCATTCCCTCTGTTTCCCAGATTTACAATCTCTTTGCTCATGTCATGGAGCGAGGCTAGAACACATTGTCATCAAGCAGAGCAAGTCCTATTGATGATGAAGTTTCCACACCTTTATACACAGGACATCGATTTGCCATTACCCATTGATTCATCCGGGTGCTAAAGCATGTGCTGAACATCGGGCCCTGGGCTGGACATGGAGATCAACCAAATCTAATCCCAAATCTCAAAGAAATAGCAGCCCAACAAAGCTGACAACACACTGCATCACTTAAGGATGCTCTTGGCTGTAAGTAACAGGAAACCTCAGCTCAAAGTGGCTAAACCACAAGGCTATTTAACTAAATGGTAACTCACAGCAGTGGTGAGCCTGGAAAATGGGTGATCTAGTGGCTCCGGAAATCAGTCAGAATGAAGGAGCTTCCTGATGCTTCACTCTGCCTTCCATAGTTTGTCCTCATCCCAAGGCTGCATCCTCTCACAACCATAGGATGCTACTCACGGCAATTCTGTCCATGTGCTTTGTCATTTGGGTATAGCCATAGAAAGCAATTCTGGGCACTGGTTGATGACTCTCTACTGGAAAGAACAGACTAGACCCTTCCTTCCCATCCTTCAATAGGAGCCAACCCTGCCAACGCACTTAGAGTTTTGGACTACAGAGCTGTGAGTTCATGCAGCTCTGTTGTTCAAGTCCATGGTACTTGTAATAGTCTTAGCAAAACCACACTGTCTCCAAGGATTCACCACTCCCTTCTTTCAACCAGTCTAAACCACCACCTGCTCACCAGGGCTGCCACAGTGCTAAACCTTGGTCCCTTACCAAATGGCCTTCTCTGAAGGAATACATCTTTATCAGTGGCTATGTGTCAAACATTAACTGCTGAGTCCTATGAAGTCTCTGCACACACTAATCTCCTTCCTATTTGGGAACAGGACTCAGCTTTCTCACAAGGCCGCTTACCACTTTGGAGGCTGAGAATGTCACACACCCTTTTCCAGTATCCCCCGTAGCTAGGGAGTGAACATGTGGATAAGACTCAGCCAATCTGATGACTAGACTTCAAATGCCATACAGATGGAATGTGGCAGCTTCCCAAAGCAGCTGTTGGGTGGTGACCTGTGCTGGGGAAGGCTGAGGAAGACGCCTGAGGAGCAGCTCTGAGTGTGGATTTGGGGCATGATCCTGGGTGTAGAACTCTGAGCCTGGCTCAACTCGTTATTCCTTAATCATGCGAAATTATTTGTGTAGTGCTGTGGGATGTTCTGTATGTCAAATGTGTTGCTGATATGTCAATGAATAAATCACTGATTGGTCAGTGGCCAGGCAGGAAGTATAGGCAGGACTAACAGAGAGGAGAATTGAGAGAACAGGAAGCTGGGTGGGGGAG